AGAGAGAGAGAGAGAGAGAGAGAGAGAGAGAGAGAGACTAACGTTTAAATCGTTTACCTCTTATTTTTATCTGCACTCATTTTTTCTCCCCCAAGTATAATTCGTGTTTGTATGAATCCAATCCTCCTCCTCCTCCTTCCCGCCTCCAGGTGAGAAATGGCGCATCACAGCCTGCAAGGTGAAGGACGACGGGAAAGCGGGAGAGGAGACCGATGTCAAAATCGTGTTCGTCTGCTCTTATCTGGCTGTGACGTCAGGACATCACGCCAAACCCAGCTACCCGAAATTCCCCGGGGAGGACACATTTCCGGGTGAGTGTTGCCGTCTGCTGTTTTGCAAAAAAGTTCTCTTTCGTTGCTTTTTTCCCTTCCGCCTTTTTATTTTTTTATGGTTTTGATTTATTTTTTTATGTTTTTGGTTCTTGTTTTCTATTTCGTACACAATTGAACCTGCTCTGATGGCCACCTGTATAAGGCAATCACCTGTACGAACGACCATTCCCCGTTCCCCCAATGAAGTAGTGGGTTTTGGGTTGTTGTTGTTGTTGGGTTGTTGTTGTTTTTTTTTGGGGGGGGGTTGTTTTTGTTTTTGTTTGTTTGTTTTTTCCCTAACATAATAGTGACACTGTATAAGACACCCACTTGTCTAAGACAATAATTGTGCCATTCGACTTTTAAAATATTTTTTAAAAGGGACTGCGGGCCGTTTGGGACCCGCTTTGGGTTGTGGAGGGCGTTGCCCCTAAGAAGTTGGTGTTTGAGAATACGCCACTGATATAGGCCCTACTTCTTTTCTATCCCTCTTTTCTATCCCTCTTATATTTTATGTGCCTTCAATCAAAGTTTTTTCAGTTTAAAAAAAATCCACTCAGAAATGTGTTCTTAAATGGAAATAAAAGATGTTGAGCCAAGAAAAAAAAAGTGATACGAATATCCAAACTGGCGGGAAAATGCCAGTTATAAAAAAAAAAACGCTGAGGGTGAAATGTAAAGTGGCCGTTTGTGCAGGCAGCTGTCTCATACAGGTGGCCGTTGGAACAGATTCGACAGTTCACTTTTACTTTACTTACTTTTATCCGCCGCCTATACCCTTTTGGGTGTCGTGGGAAGAAAGAGACGTCTCTCTGACGCCAAACGGAGAGCTTGGGTCAGGGGGATGCCATGGGTGGTTAATGTTTCCCTGACTCCATCTATCCAGGTCTTTCTCAGTCGCCCTCAGGCCTTGTTGCTATCGAATTTTTTTCATGTAGACACGTTGTGCTGGATGGTGTGTTGGTAATCGCATGAGATGTCCGAACCATTTGATACTTTGGTGTTGGATGTGATGCATGACTTCATTTCTCTGATTACTGAGTTTCTGATTTTGTCTCGCCTGGTATTGTTTACTGCTTTTCTAAGGCATCGCATTTCACATGTTGTAATTCTTTGCTCTAATGTCTTGTTCGTGGTCCATGTTTGGCATTGATAGGTGAGTGTTGGGATGAATGTGGTGTTGATCATTTTGAGTTTTGTTTTCACGGGGATGTTAGGATGTTTCAGTAGTGGAGTAAGCTGGTAA